ATATAATTTTTTAATAGTTATATAAATATATGTGCTTTGAAATATAAATGTTTACAACAAATGTTTACAACAAGAAATTAGATTAGAAATCACAAAGTTTTTACTTTTGCAATTGGCAGTTCTCAAATTTAATCCTGTTAACGCTGTTTAACTTATCCAGAATTGGTAGGACCGGCCCTTAGAGTTACTACATCGACCTAAAAAGGATGTATAAACGGTTGCAGTGTAAGGATGACGATAATGCCAACCATAAAAATTAAACATCTTGACTCTTCATTGTTTGTAAGGTTGGTTAATATTTTGTGCTATACACAAAGAGAGATCAGAAAATAAAAAAAATCAAAATCAAAAAATGTGAAAGTCACATTCTTTTAGACTACAATTTTACCACAAGCAAGTATCTAATTTTTCATCACTTTACATTGATATTAAAGAAAATTCTTGACTCACTTCATTTGAAAGTTGTTAAGCTATTTCAACTTGGTGGGAGTAAAGCCTGAGATAAAGATAAATCTGAATGTGTAAATGTGACTCATTTAAGTAGGAGTTATAACATCAATGTTACTAAGTTAGAAGCCCGTGTAAACATACTAATTGTCTAATTTATTTTCGATTAATTTTTCGGGCTAAGTACATGGTATAAAAATAATTAATTAATTACAATTAACTGAATGACTAACAAATCTTTTTAATTGCACTTCAAAATTCATTACATATGAAATACAATACGAAATACAAATGATTTAAAATAATAATTTTTTAAATCGGCATACTTCTCGGGTCAAGTACATATAAATGTAGCGAACTGATACAAGATTTAGAGTTGATTTATAAAGGCCGTAATTTGTTAACTTATGCCGTAACCGTAAAAAATTGACAAATCATAGTAGATTATTCTTTTACAATTCAAATGTGATTAATCAATTTTTTACGGCCTCCATAAATAAACCCTAAGTTGAACCAAGATTAAAAGTTAATCTACGTTGATGGAATTGAGCATTAATCGATGGAAACGATTGAAAGTAAATAATACCAACTTTACTTTTTATAACAATAATAATCGTTCATTATATATCAGTAATTCTGTATAATTGATAATTTAACAAAATTATTTCAAAATCCATTTTTTTACACAACTATAAGTGTAACTTATATATGTATTCTTTAGAAATTAAATTTGTTTATATTCGACAAACAGAAGTTATATTGGTTTTACTGAAATGTCAGTCTTTCTCACTTCTACTTTACTTCTGAAAACAGCATATTAAATTTGATCCGTACTGAAGTAGAATCGAAAAGGGGAGCGTCCTAAATGCGCACATTTTCAATCGGACACACCACTCACATCAGTCAATGCCTAGGAATTTTCTAATGAATCACCTATCAAAAATTTTTTATTTTGATCAATCAATCGGTAATGTGTCCGATTGGATTTCACCTATCGAAAAAAGGGATCTGATAGCACACAATGCTGATTGGCCAATTAAATATAAAATTTTCTGATTGGTTATCCATTAGAAAATTCTTAAACAGCGGCTGATGTGTTGGATGTGAGTATCGCACTGTACTAACGGGACTCTCCCGAATCGAATTGAAGACTTTGGTGGAAACTAGACCAATAATAGGGTAATTAACATAAAATAACTAGGTGGAATCTGATGTTCAAGTAAAACGATGTGATTGGCGCAAGGTATGCTTACGCAACTTAAAACTGTCGCATGTGACGGCACCCTGAAAATTCATACGGAAGTTGCGAGTATAAGTAGTTTTATTATACACAATAAAAAGAAAAAAGAGAAAATAATATTGATTAAAAAGGAATAGAAAGTTTGTGTCATATTATCTGAAGAATAGGTTGAAAACATTGTTTAAGTCACCACCTGGCGGCAACTCGGAAAAGAAATAATTCTTTAACTTGTATTTCTCAGATATGGCAAATTTATTTAATTTTGTGTTATCATCCTCCGATGATAAAAATGATCAAGTATAAGTGTCAGTCCATAATAGATGATTTAATCTTTAAAAAGTAAGAAATTGACCAATTATAATTGAATATGAAAAAAATAATCGACTATGATTGGTCAATTTCTTACGACTTAAAGATTAAATACTTATTATGGACCGACACTAACACCGAAAAAGAAAAAGATTTAAAGAATGCAGTTATTAATTAAGTTATTTTGAAGACTTGGATGATATAGAGTTTAAAATGTGATTTCGATTAAACAAAGAATCAGTTTTATTAATATTAAAAGAAATAAGAGAAAGGTTAGAATTTTTTACTAACCGGTAAGTTAAAATTATCATATAAAATTAAATTTTTTAACATTAAAGAAGAAAAAAATCAAATATAAATTTTGAGGTTGTGCTGTATGTCCGTAATAGCAAACGCTGAATCAATCAACATTCAAGGTTCTTAAGTTTTCTAAAGTTATATCGCATAAGTTATAAGTTTAATTAAACATTCTTAATGAGGTATTTGTAGAAACCAATCAATATTAAATTGATAATTAAGTCTAGGCTGTGTTCCGATATTCACTGCCAGTACTGAAAATCTATAATATACGTGACCTGAATTATATATTTTCAGTGAATATCGGAACGCAGCCCTAGTTTACAATGACATAACATAAGGTTATAAGCACAATACATACAGAGTGCTTTCCAACAACGTACACAGGCAACACTGTGTAACACAATGTCTACACTGGTGCTTTCCATCTATGACACAGAACGACACTGCGAAACACAGCTCAATCCTAAAGCCAGCGGCACACAATGCTTTTTTTTCTACTGGTTTGCTAATTGGATTCGCGTGTTTGCTGAGCTCTTGTCTTCGATTGGTATGTTTTTTTAGATCTAAAAGAATATACCAATCAAAGACAAGACCTCAGCAAGCACGCAAATTTAGCTAGCAAATCAGCAGGAAAAAACATCAGGTGCTGCTGGCTTAAGTTTGGCCGTGTCGGACATCAATAGTGCCAACATATCGAGCAAAATTATTTTTTTTAAGTGTGGTACTAATATACATTCCGGTCATTATTGTCATTTTGGATGCGTTCTGTTTCTTGCATGATGCGCATAATGCATCACTTATCCTTGTTTAATGTATTGTGATAAGAATAAATGATACATCACGCGTATCATGCGAGAAATGGAACGCATTCTTTATCTGCAAAAAAGTCTTCGTCGCATTCGAATAACGTAGTACCGAACCCGGAATTCTTAGGTAATCAATATTCAGTTCTTTTTTATTTAAAGAAATATATAAATATATAAATATATAAGCTTAAAAACATTACGTATTTATTGATGACCCATTATTAGTATAAATTCTAAAATTCTTCTTAGATTTTTATTGCAGATATGTTCTTTTGTCGGTTTAATTGTAAAGGAATTATTTCTACATTAGTGTCGGTCCACAATAAGTATTTAATCTTTAAGTCGTAAGAAATTGACCAATCATAGTCGATTATTCTTTTCATATTCGATTATTTGGTCAATTTAATTGGTCAATTTCTTACTTCTTAAAGCTTAAATCACCTATTGTGGATCGACATTTAGATGATGTTAAGCATCATGCTTGTTTCAAAGGAAAAGAAGTTTTCCTTGAAAGAGAAAAGGAATTATACTCACCTGAAATGAATGAGATTCCATGTAATGTCAAATCGAAAAGATCATAGTTATTTCACAAATATAAAATAAAGCGCTTTGTAGCCAGGAATAAAATCAATATATATAATTACTTAAATTTATTTTAGTATATATCAATAATTCTTCAAAAAATGCACTGGCAATAATGGATGATAACGAAAAAAATGGGCTCATGTTTATGCGTGAGTGTCGGTCCACAATAGGTGATTTAAGC